AAAAAAAAAAAAAAAAAAAAAAAAAACCACCAAACAAAACCAAGAAATCTAATATTAAACATCTCTTTAAGGATGCAATTGATTGAATATTTGAAGAAAATATTTTAGAGTTAATCATTTAAAATCAATGATGACAACCAAACACACTCCTATTAATGTAACTTAAATTAGGAGAACATAAACGGCTTGTCCTCCTCATTCCATCTATGATGAACGGCCGGGACTTGGAATGAATATGGGGCACAACAAGTACTTTCATGGAATTGAAACTAGCTGTGACATTAGAGAGAGAATACTGAACACAACTGCCATCACGTAGTAAGCGAAATGGACCAAAAATACAACTCCCACCGAGATTTGAACTCGGGTTACTGGATTCAGAGTCCAATGTCCTAACCACTAGACCATGGGACCTCAATCCATATGTTTACAGGCATACTAAATACAAGTTCTTTACGGTAAAGGTAAATCCTCCCTATATATAATTTCAGAATGCGCTGAGCCTACGTGGCTGCTTGTGGTGCTTCGGAATTCTATTTGGCGAAGAATCATGCTTCGTAATTAGGTTTGGATAAATAATATTATTAATAATTAATAATCTAGGTTCGGGTATTCCATAAATATTATTTAGCTAACTTATGTATTTTAATATCATTTTTACTAATATAACCCTTTAATTCTTTGTAATTTTACATAGTGAGGCACTAAGTGACTAATATATCCCTGAATTTTGATTTGTTTCCTTCAATAAGCTATTGAATTATAAATGTATTTTAAAAGTTGATAACTTTTGTATTTCTTATCGGTTTTACATATATAATATATCAAATTAATCATCTTTTGATGATATTCGATTTGACATCCATATTGTATATATGAAATAAATAAATTATATTTATCTTTATAATAATAATAAATAATAATATTTATTAAAATTCATTAGAAAAATAAAAGTATTTCTCAATTGATATATTTATGTTTAATGTAGTTATATGTTGTAAGTTAAAAAAATTATCATAATATAACACAATAAGTTGCACAAATGAAAAGTGTCATACTAAATATATAATAATATATATATTTTTATAAAAGATATTTAAATTTTCAACAATTTTTTTCTCATTAATTTTAGATTTTAAGAAAAAAAATTAGCAAGCACCCGTGTAATACACGGGCGTTGTACTAGTAACAAAATAAAGCAAAATCGGTCGCGGCGGTGGAGAGCAGAGCACAGAAGATGAGGAAAAGCCTCTCAAAACCCTTTTCCACCACCATAGCCACACTCCTCCTAACACCAAAACCTTGGACCTCACTATATTTCTCCATCGCCACTCATCTCCCTCTGCCGGAATGGGTCTACCCTTTCGACGATCTTTCAGACCTCATCACTCCAAAATCGGGCCTCCAACCTTCCCCTTGGGTCCCCAAGATCCTTCACATTCTTAAGACCACAACCTTCGAACAAGATTTGTCCGTCTTTTGCCACAAATACCTAATCAGATTGCCTCCTACCTTCGTCGCCCATATCCTCAAGAATTCGGACCAGTATCCCAACCGGGCCGATACCTCCTTTCGATTTTTTATCTGGGCCGGTATGCAAAAAGGGTATGTTCATAACCTTGACTGTTATGTCTATATGATGGAGGTTTTGTGTTCGGAGTGTGTTTTTGATAGGGTCAGGTTGGTTTTTGACGATTTTAAGAGCAAGGGGTTGTTGCTGGATTCATCATCGGCTAATTCTCTTATTAGGAGCTTTGGGAATGGAGGGATGGTTGAGGAGTTGCTTTGGGTTTGGAGAAGAATGAAGGATAGTGGGGTTGAGCCTAGTTTGTACACATATAATTTTCTCATCAATGCTCTTGTTAATTCAATGTACATAGAGTCCGCTGACAAGGTTTTTGAGCTTATGGAAAATGGCAAAGTCAAGCCGGATGTCGTCACTTATAACACCATGATCAAAGGGTATTGTAATTTGGGTAATGCTAAAATGGCTATCGAAAAATTTCAGGATATGGAGGCAAGGAGTGTGGGGCCGGACAAGATTACTTTCCTGACTTTGATGCAGGCTTGTTATTCGGAGGGGAACATCGATTTTTGCTTGAGACTTTACAATGAGATGCAAGATAAAGGAGTAGGTATACCCCCACATGCCTACAGCTTAGTGATCAGTGGTCTTTGCAAGGAGGGCAAGTCAATGGAAGGACACACAGTATTCGAAAATATGCTTTCAAATGGTTGTGAGCCCAATGTGGCAATTTATACCGCCCTGATTGATGCGTACGCGAAAAATGGGAACTTGGACACTGCCATGGGGCTTTTCCAGAGGATGCAAAGTGATGGTTTTGAGCCTGACCAAGTTACATATGGAGTGATTGTGAACAGTCTGTGCAAGAACAAGAGATTAGAGGAGGCACTACAATGGTTTGACTACTGCAAACAGAAAAATGTCGCCATTAATGCTGTTTTATATTCTAGCATCATTGACGGCCTTGGAAAAGTAGGTAGATTGGGGGAGGCTGAAAAGCTATTTGAAGAGATGGTTGAAAAGGGCTGCCCTCGGGACTCGTACTGCTATAATGTCTTGATAGATGCATTAGCTAAAAATGGGAAGGTTGATGAAGCGTTGGTAGTTTTTGAGAGAATGGAGAGCGAAGGCTGTGATCAGACGGTGCATACATTCACAATACTAATCAGTAGCTTATTTAAAGAGCACCGTAATGAGGAGGCGTTGAAATTTTGGCACGTGATGATCGATAAAGGGATCACGCCAACTGCTGCTTGTTTTCGGGCACTCTCAACGGGGCTTTGTCTTTCGGGCAAGGTCGCAAGGGCTTGTAAGATATTGGATGAACTGGCACCGATGGGAATTGTGCTGGACACGGCTTTTGAGGATATGCTGAACGTTTTGTGCAAGGCTGGTCGTTTGGCTGAGGCGTGCAAGCTGGCGGATGGAGTTATTGAGCGAGGGCGAGAAGTTCCGGGGAGGGTTCGTACTGTTATGATAAATGCATTGAGGAAGGCTGGCAATGCAGATCTGGCTATGAAGTTGATGCACAGTAAGGTTGGGGTAGGGTATGATAGGATGCGTAGTGTTAAAAAGCGGGTTAAATTTCGAACTCTGGTTGAGAGTTGAGGTGAGCCCGTGAATAATGGTCTGGTTGAGAGTTGCGGTGAGTCTATGAATAATGATTTTTACGAATTTTCCCCAGAATCGGAAGGCCGCAAGTAATTGTGTCAGACTGTCTTTCTTACGGTATGTGGATGGATATTGTTGATTTCAAAATTGAGAATCAGATCGCACAGTGAAGGCGTGCTGCTATCTGAAGTGAAATTCATATAAGAACTAAGAAGCTTTTCCCTCACCTCATGAATTTGGCTTGGTATGTTTGGAGTTTTGAAGTTTCGCGGACGTGTAATGTAGAAATTGCGTCTATGCCAATCAAATATATTTTTATATTGATGATTTCTCTCGGAATGTACACCTCTACCACAACTTCCTAAACTATCTCAAATATATGTAAATTCTTAGTCTATCTTTTGAATGGACTTAAGTGTTAGTATTAGGGGTGTTCACGGTCCGGATTAGTTTGATTTTAGCCAAAATCATGACCAAACCGGACCTAATAGTTAATTTTTTTTCTTGTCCATAACCGGATCGGTTTTATTTTTTAACCGGCCATAATCCGGACAACATTGGACGGTCCGGTTTGACAGTTAACAGGTTAAATCCAAAATCCTTGTTTTGGGCCTTTAATTTTTATTTTCTTCATTTTGGGCTTAATTTTTATTTTCAATTTTGGGCCCAAAAGAGATTATTTGGGCCTAAAATTAAGAAAAACAATAATAATGAAATAAAAAATACACAATTCGTCTCATAAGCATAAAAATACACGTTTCGTCTCATAAATATAATTTATAGTGAAAATTTATAGTGTCTTACAAAATTAAGTAAACAAATGGCCAAAAAGTGAAAATGAATGTATTGTATTTGTCGGCCATAGTGAATGACTGAACACACACACACACACACACACACACACACACATATATATATATATATATATATATATTTGTTATAATTTTTTAATATTTACCGGTCTGGTCCGGTTAAACAGCAGTTTGCGGACCAGTTATTCCAGATTTTTTAAAAAATTAACCACCAGATTTTTAAGTCTTTTTTAACCAACCATTTAACCGATTCGCAGTCCGGATTGACGATTTTTTTCGGTTAAAACCGGACTGTGAACACCTCTAGTTAGTATCTCCGTTAGAATTTCAAGCCTTTGATTATAAGTACCACATGGCGGTCATCTCTCCCCAATAACTCTTTAGAGAAAATAGCTATTTTCACCTTGTTTTGAAGTCATACTAAGTTTTTCACACCACCCAATAAAAAGCCAAGTTTTTCACCCCAAAAAGTACGAAGACATATGCGATGAACTATGCGATAAATAGGCGACAAGTATGAGCATTGGCGAGAAAATTATGAGTTAAAGTATGCGTCTGTTCTGCGATGAATATGCGGAGATTCGATGTACGATTCGGTCAACCGCGGTGCGTCGCCCATTAAATAATTATTCTTTGTTAGACGACTCCAATCTTTTTTTACCTAAGCGCTGAAGTTGAAAGTTCGTATTTTCCCACCTCGTATTCTGTAGGTTTGCTTGAAGTTCTATCTCTTTGTAGGGTTTTATCAACTTGAATCGAACTCATAAGCTTTGACTTCGAATGAATCTGTGACTATTAGTCGAAAAAATTATTCTGCGACACAACTACGACATACCAACGTCGCATATTATTCGCAGAATTGGTGCATAATAAGTTTTTTCCGTGTTTCTTTCATCTTTCTGTTATTCTAGGGGGTATGCGAATTTACGCATATTACTCGCATACCACCTCCGCACATCTACTCGAAAGTTTATTTTTTATTTCTTTAATCTTTCAGTTATTTCAGTTATGCGATGGGGTATGCGAATTTCCGCATATTGCCTCGCAAACCACCTTCGCACTCCTACTATAAAGTTTATTTTTTTTTTATTTTTTTCATCTTTCGGTTATTTCAGTTGTAACACCCCGCTATTTATTGAAATTAGAGTACGCTTTTCGCAAATTTTCTGAATAAATAAAATATTTCTTTTTGCGAAAACTGATTCGGAGTGTTACCGTAAAATTTGACTTTTATCTGAAAACCGTAAATTTTAAATTGATAATAAAAACGGTTATAATTATATTAACCGACTAACGCCGGATCAAAAACTGGTTTAAAGTACTGAAATGGTAGCGGAAATGTAGCGTAGCCAAAACATAACATATACATAATAACAAATATCCTGAACAGCTCGTCAGCTCACTCCTCGTCCCCGACTCTGTGACCTGAAAAACATGAA